CATCAGGATGCCTGGAATCTCCTCCAGGAGAGGAGGCTGCAAGCCTGGCTTGGATGAGTGTGTTGCTGCTTGGATTTCGGGATTGCAGTTAGACACGGGGTTCTGGGAAGTAGTGCCGAGCTCGTGTGATAAATGGCTTTCCAAAAGGGCACGTTCCTCTGCTGCTTCCTCCTCCAGGGCCCTTACGGCTCAAGCGCAAATAAATTGCGGTGCGTCCAACACGGATTTGGGCAAATAAACTGAGCTGAAGTAAACCAAAGGACTGGTGCTGCTCAGAAAAAAATGGATGTAAAGTTTAGAGGGTTTGTAAAGTCATGCTGGGAGTAACATTCGTTTAAAAAAACTGAGAAAAAGCTTGGAAGTTATACTTACAGAAGCACTTCTGACCTCAGATACCACTTACTTTCCTTATTCTTCCATTTCTACTCTTGGCAAGTTATTAGTAATAAATCACCGCATTTTTAGCAAAATGAAGCTTATTTAGCTCTTGCAGTAATGATGACCGGGGTGGTTCTGCTGTTGGCTTGTTGTGCAGGCGGCAGCAGGTGGAGGCACGCGGGGAGGTGGAGGTGCTGCCATCAGCAGCACTCGCTTACGTTTCAGCTCTGCTTTCTGCTGCAGTTACTGCAAAAGGGCTCTCTGCAGTAGTGCAGGTTACTTGGGAGTAATTCATTCCCTGCCTTTTGAAATGCAGTCGTAGAATTACACATCTGTGTTAGAGATCTGTGGGTGCAGGTACAACTGCACAAGTGAAGGTGGCAGAAATAACAATTTTGGGGAGTTCAGAAGTGAGTTCAGGATGAGATAAGCCTTAATCAACCCTTAGGATATATTTTGGCCTTCCTGGAGATAGGGAGGGGGAAGGAAATGCACGGTTGGGCCTCCGAAGTGCCTATTATCGATGCTATGGGCTGGCAAAAATAAGGAGGAAGTGAGAGAGAAAATGAGCTAAAAACAGACTTCAAGGGAGCTGCGTTTGCTCTGTAGCACCCTGTAGCTGTGGCCAAAGCAGGCGGAGGGCTCGACAGAGAGATGAGCAAAAAGCAGAGAGGAAAAAGCAGCTACCGTGTGTTCTCGCATGGCAAAACAAGCCCCATTCGTGGCTCTAGAGCAATGGGGATGTGTGCGAGGCGGGAGCCGGAGCGGCCGGTCGGCTCTGCGGCCGCGCGGCGGGGAGGAGGCTTCGCAGCAGCCACAACGGGCAGACAGTTTATGGTAAACCAATAAAACGTACTTATGTCTGAATCTGAAATTAGACTCTGAAAAATATGGTCTCAAGGCACCTGCTAAAGAGCTTAGCGTTACTGGAATCTTAATAAATGACTCATGCTGTCATAATCTAACGCTGCCATCAGCTCGGCGGGCTGTTGCTGCGGCTCTTGGCTGGGGGAAGGGGAAGGCTGCAGAGCTCTAGTAAAGACAGATGTAAACAGCT